TAAATTATCTAAAAAGAAAAACTAACAATATATATAACACATTTTAGATATCTTAGGGACACATGAATACATACTTGGGGTATAAAATTGTTGTTTTAGATCTATTGATATAGAAAAAATATAAAAAAAAATCAAATGCATTATTTACGAACGGTTCGGTCCGGTATTTTTCGGTTCTCAAAATCTAGGACCGGTCCCATACCCGTTTCAAACGGTACGGTTTCGGTACGGGATAAAAATCTATAGAACCGTTTAAATACCCGATATTCGGTTCGGTACCATTATGGGATGGTTCGGTACCAGTTCGGTTCGGGTTTTATGTCCACCCCTATTAATAGGTATCCAAATGGCTACAAAGTTAGAATGTTTTCTAATAGTTTGGAGGACATTAGTGTTTTGATAGTACAAGTACTCAATTGACATTTTTGTTATCTTAAAGGGACCTATTTGGTAGTTCCCCATATTGACTGTTACAATGTTTTACAAAAAATCAATTTGTAGAACAAGCCCAACCGATTCCAAAATCGCCCGTCTCGGAATCAGACCACAAGCTCAACCATATTACTACGGTTAGAGGAACCGTGGAATCGGGAATCAGTGATTCCGTATTTTTAATGGTTCTACAATATTAATCTCTACTTGAAATGTCTACAACAATAATCTGAATTACTACTAGAAAACTGACGTATAATGATTATCATCATCAAGCTCTTATCACTATGCCAAAATCGATAGTTGTTAGCTTAGACACAAGTTTATTTCCTAACATTTCCGTAGCAATCAAGCATCACATTTCGATTGCGTGGATTGACAGATATGATTGCTAACACCGCATCCCTTCGGCCCAACAACCCCCGACACCTGCCAGCCTCAACTCCGAACATGTTGTTATCGGTTGTCAAACCCGTGACTTGCTTTGATATCAATTGTCAGGATCAAGCACTCATCACTAACTACGCTACAAGATATAGCTATGAGCAAAGGTGAAATTTTATTTTCTTATACTTGCATAGCAGTCAAGCATCACATTTCATGTATAGACGGACTGACACAATTGTCATATGACAAATAGACAACCTAAGATTCTTAATACTGAAATTATCTCAACTCAAGCCATTACACTAACCAATGGTAATCAATGGTACATTGAAGACTGATTTGCAACTCTATTTACAGAAACTTCACTTGAAGCCTCAATGGTACTGAATTGAAGACTGATGTTATGCTATTACCACTTGAGGATGTGACATTGTCCTTGGGGTCCAATGGTTGAGAACTCTGGGTGAGATTACTTGAGATTTCAATAAGCTGAAAATGACTTTCATTATGAATGACCAATAGGTTCTTTTCAAAGGAATACCACAAAAGAAAGTACAAATAGTGGAGGGATTGCCTTCCAAAAAGCTGTTGAAACAGGCAAATCATGTGTACTTGCTGCAAATAATGGAAGAAGGGGCTAGTGCATCTTTTTTCCAGTTACAAGGGTCACAATGCACTCATAACACATCACGAGAATGGAAGACACTCAGATTCAAATATGCTTCTCTTTTTTATGAACCCTGTACTCACCTCCTACTAGGGGTTCTCATGATAATAGAACTCCATTGGAGAGGGGAAGTGGATCATTTAATATCGGACCATACGGATATCCACTCAGGAAAAGAGATATCATTGAACATTTGGTGTAGGAAATGCTTGATAAAAGTATTATTCAACAAAATGTGAGTCCATTTGCTTCTCCAGTGGTGTTGGTGGGCAAGAAGGATGGCCCATGAAGGTTATGTGTTGACCACAGAGAACTGAACAAGAAAACCATTAAAAATAAATTCCTTATACTTGTACTTGAGGAATTAATTGATGAATTAGCTGGTTCTATAGTATACAGTAAGCTGGATTTGAGAGTAGGGTACCACCAGCTAAGGGTTCACAAAGATGACATTTTCAAAACCGCATTCAAAACTCATACAAGACATTATGAATTCCTAGTTATGCCTTTTGGTCTAACTAATGCCCCAACTTCATTCCAAAGTTGGATGAACATTGTATTCAAACCATTACTAAGGAAATGAGTTCTTGTTTTTTGATGACTTACTTATTTATAATAAGAGTATACATGAGCATTGACAACACTTGGATCACGTTTTTCACATCATGCAACAACACACTATTATGTTAAAGAGAGAAAATGTTCTTTCTTCATGCAAAGGATTGAATATATGGGCCACTTTATATCTAGCACTGGAGTGGAAACTGATCCACAGAAGATATCCGCTATCAGTTCATGGCTTACTCCTTCTTTAGTTAAGGATTTACGAAGCTTCTTAGGCTTATCAGGCTACTATAGGCTAACAAGGATATGCCCTTATTAGCAGACCATTGAATGACCTTTTGAAGAAAGGAGCCTTTGCATGGTCTGATGAAGCTCAACTGGCTTTTGAGAATCTAAAAAAAGCTATAGTCTCTGCCCGAGTTCTAGTTAGCTTTACCAAAATTTTACCAAGACCTATGTAGTTGAGACAAATGCTTCTAAATTGGGCATTGGAGCAGTGTTAATGCAGGAAGCCCATCCTATAGCCTTAATTTAATAATAGATCTTTAGGCCCAAAGATACAAAAACTGCAAGTATGAAGAAGAGCTCCTAACCATGGTTTTTGTTATTCAAAAGTGGGAACAATATCTGATGGGTGCACACTTCATTGTCAAGACAGATCAGAAGAGTTTAAAATGGTTACTAGAACAAAAGATTTTAACCCCTTTACATCAATTTTGGCTCTCAAAACTGATGGGATTTGATTATGAGATCTAGTATAAAGTTGGGAGAGAAATAAATGTGGCAGATGCATTATCAAGGGTCTCAAGGGTTGAAATTATGCATATGGACATCTCAGTAGTAGACTCTAACCCAAAAGACCGTATCATTAATAGTTACTCACTAGATGACAACACTTTGACTGTCATACATAAACTGCAGCAACAGGAGGTTGTTCCCAATTTTTCCAATCAAGATGAACTACTAAAGAGGCATGTCAAGGTGGTTACCGGTCCTGATGATAATCTTAATGGAAAAATACTTCAATGGCATCATGCTTCACTAGAAGCTGGACACTCTGGTAGAGAACAAACCCTCAAACGAGTGCAAAACTACTCTATTTGAAGGGTCTCACTAAGGATGTTAGCCAATTTGTGAGGAAATGCAAAGTCTGTCAAGCTTCAAAGCATGATGCAGCTTCAAAACTTAGGAATCTACAACTCATTCCATTTCCAGAAATTGTATGGGTTGATGTATCTATAAACTTCATCACTGGCTTACCTAAGTCAATGGGGAACATTGTGATACTGGTATTTGTTGATAGGCTGAGTAAATATGGTCAATTTATGGCCCTTTCTCATCCTTTTACTGCAGTAGAAGTAGCTCAATGCTATCTTGATAGTGTGTTTAATAACATGGTCGGCCGCAAAGTATAGTAAGTGATAGAGATTTCATCTTCGCTAGTCAGTTTTGGAAGGGTCTTTTTTCACTGCATGACACTGAATTCCTGTTATCTTCAGCTTACCATCCTGAAACAGATGGTCAAACTAAGGTGGTCAACGGGCGACGCTAAGTAAAAATTTATGTTTAGTTTTCCTTTCTCTATTTACAATATTTCAAACTTAATGGTTAAAGATGTCCTCCGCCGTTATTTTATTTATCTCCATTTGCTCTCATCCTAATCCTCCACCAAAATCTCAATACCCGTTGTACTATGGAGCCAAAATTGAAATTTTCATCTAAAATCTTCCACTCTTTTTTCATAAAACCTTACACCTCTTTAGTTTTGTTTCTATTTATGGGTGAGGAGTGACAAAATGTTAGGGAAGGAATTCTAGAAACCCTTATCGGTCACCTCATGCTACCATTTGTTGAACTTCATGCTCCATTTTTGGGTTAATCGATGAAAGCACCCGAACGTAAGTCTTTAAGTAAACTCGTTCATTCTCGCCATTCTTAGGAAATTTGAGAGAGGATTTCCTACAAGTTCTACGGGTAATTTTATTTTGTTAATTAGCTCTATTCGGTCTACTCAAATATTTTTTAGTTGATTGTGTGTTGTTTCAATTGTAATTGTTTATTATTCTGACTGTAATTCATTTTGATATTTATACTGAATTTGTTTGAGGAAGACATCACTAACTTGTGTCCATACTGCCTCTTTTGTTTTGACACGTTCACAAAGTGTTAGATAGATGTTTTGGAGAGAACATATTTAAGTAATGCACCTACCTAATGTCTTGAAATGGATTTATATGGACTCAATATTTTTATCTCTACTCAATCATGTTGAATTTCTAAAATTTGATACAAATTCGCCTTATTATGCAACAATTGTGGTAGGAGGACGCCTTAAAGTTTCTATATTTGTGTCCCAACATGTAAATGCACACATAAATGGGTAAGTTAGTCCCATTTTGGTGATTTTTCATTCATTATTTTCAATGAGGATTGTCATTTTCCTTTCAATTTATAGAGGATTGTTCTATTCCTCTATGATGCCTCTTGAAATTAGAAGGATAAGTTTTATTTTGAACAATCCAAACAGTTTAAACACTGTCCTTCGTTCTGTATGTTTGATCTTTTTCAAGAATAAAATCATTTGTTTTGATCTTGATTTGTGTAAAATGTTTCTCATTTTAATATTATGCTCTGATGACTTTGCTTCAAAGGGCTCTTTAATCTTGTATTGACTTATATTATTATTATCCTTGCTACCTCATTGAGTTCAAAATAAACAAGAATTGAGTGAAAAGATAAGACCTACAACTATGTTACATTGTTACTGGTCTAGTAAGGTGAGAGTTCGGTTCAATTCGAGTTTGAACTCGAGTTTGGTTTCAACTTTCGTTCGGTTCGAAACTGCAAACATCATTGCAGGATGGGCTCCATCCGCATGTGTTTGCAATCATCTTGATCTTACAACCTTGGGTCTTAAGAATCTTTGGATTGAAGCTCCTCCCTGGCCCAACTTCACAACCTCGTACAACCCAACTGGCAATTATACCCGTAGGAAACAAGACGGATTCGCTTTCGCCGCCGCGCGAAAGAGAGAGATGGGGAAGAATCAAGCAGTAGCCGATACAAGCAGAGCCAAAAAAGCCCCCCTAAAGGGTTCGCAGACCAAGAAGAACCGCAAGTCTGCTTCAGGAAGTGCTGAGAGAATTGTAATTGTCAATGACGACGAGCTCGAGACCGCCGCGGTACTATCTAATGGCACCGAATCGGAGAACGGAGACCTAAGAGGCTCTGAACAGGAAGAAGATGATGCAGAGGAATACGAAAACGGAGACATTGAGTTTCTTTGTGATGAGAAAACAAGTAATACTGACGAGAAAAAAGCAGAGGCTAATAGCAATGGGAATGGCCAGAAAACGGGCAAAAATTGCGCTAAGACGAGAGGCAACAAGAAAGAGAATCAGAGCGAGAGAGTAGTGAATAAATCGAAGAGCAAAGCAGGTACATCTCAACAAACTACGAATGCCCAAAATAGCAAAGCTAAAAAGAATGCAAATCATGGCGTAGAGCTGACGAAAAATGGGAAGAATGAGAAGGAAAAGAAGCTTGAAGGGAACAAAGGCGAGATCTTTAAATCGGGAAAGAGCAGTAGTATGAAGAAGAATGAGAAAAGCAGCACGGAGGAGAGTAAGGCAAACACAAAGAATACTCCAAGAAAGGGAAAAAGCAATGGAGATGCGGAGAAGATGAAGAAGGGGAAGGAGAGGGTTGAAGAGGATGAGGAGGTTAGTGTAAAAGTAGCTAAAAAAGCTAAGGGTAGTAGCACTAGTGGTGATAAGAGCCCATCAAGCACAGAGAAGAATGGAAAAAAAGAGAAAGAAAAGAAGAGCGAAGGGAACAAAGATGTGATCTTGAAAACGGGAAAGACCAGTAGTATGAAGAAGAATGAGGAAAGCGGAAGCGTAGAGAGTAATGGAAACACAAAGGGTACTCCAAGAAAGGGAAAAAGCAATGGAGATGAGGAGAAGATGCAGAAGAGGAAGGATAGGGTTGAAGAGGATGAGGAGGTTAGTGGAAAAGTAGCTAAAAAGGCGAAGGGTAGTAGCACTAGTTGTGGTAAGAGCCCATCAAAAACAGAGAAGAATGGGCCAATCAAGAAGAAAGAAAACTTGGCGGAAGAAAATGAAGAGGGTAGAGGAACAGTTGTAGCAAAAAAGGTAAAGAGTAATGGACAGACTAGAGGGAACACGGATACTGTGGAGAAAAAGGATATAAAAGATGAAAAGAAAGTAGAAAATGGGGAAACTAAAGTCTCCCAGTCCAACAGGAAAACGAAGGATGAAGATGAGCAGGACGGTGACGAGGAGGATGTTAAGTGTGAGAGTACATTGTATAAATTTCCAATGAGTCGAATCGCTAGGATAATAAAAAGTGAAGTCTCTGATGCCAAACTTTCCCAAGAGGCAACTTTTGTTATCAATAAAGCTACGGTATGTCTGAAACCTCAGCTATATTTTTTCTTCAATCTCATGTGCTTCTTATGTATGTTCCAACTTCCAACTACTCTAAAACCTAGGGTTCATTTTAGATAAATCACTATTATGTATTACATGTATGTTTTGAAGACTTGCACATATAGAGTAATATTATGCTAGTGTACCTTGTAAGATGCATTGTGTAACTCAAAGAACTACAACAGATGATTGTACAAAAAAACATTTTCTTGTACAGCACTACAGCCCATGAACTCTTCAATCTTAATTGGTTGGAAAATATTTAGATTCAAATTCATAGAAACGTAGAATCTCCCAGCAAGGAACACACCACTTGAAAAGAAGAAAAAGTGGTCATTCTGCTTCATGTGATGGTAAATTCTTTGAACATTGGGTTATCTGTTTGAGGCTTTGTGCTAAATGTAAAAAGGACAGCCCGGTGCACGAAGGCATCCTCGCAAGGCGAGGGTCCGGGGAAGGGTCCAACCACAAGGGTGTATAAGGGGTAAGCCTTCCCCTGTCAAATTTTGACAAGAGGTTGCTCCCAAGAGTCCAAGACTTGAACCCGTGATCTCTTGATCACACAGCAACACCTTAACCGGTGCCTCCCCTTCCTGTTTGAGCTGAATGTACCAACAAAAAAATTATAATCTAGAAGAAACCTGGACATGAATTTCAAACATTACAACTCTCAGAAGCCATAATCTAGTCTATGGAGTGTTGGCATCCAGACATAGGGTACTTATAGCTAAAACCCTATATGTAGCAGTATTGTATCCTACTATAATTATTGAGACAGTAACGCTGGATGTTGAATGATCAATTTATCGAGTTTTACGATAGAAGGAAGTAAAGGATATCCATTACGCCTGTGATAGTTAATTTTGATTTGTCATTTGTTTTCATAAGCTGTGGTAATTTGGAAGCATTTAAAGTCTGCTTTGTTCCAAGTTTTTGTATATTTGCTGAATGTGAACAGAGCCCAAGTCCAAACATGAATGCCTTCAAGTGTGGTATTTGCGTCATTAATTTGGATTTTGGTATCTCAAGGTTGTTAAGGGCCCGGCTAAGTGACCTTGTCCAAGGTCTGGAACGGGAAGCCTGATATGATCGATAAGAGAGAGAGATGAAGATAACTCTGGATCTATGTTTAATTAAATCTGAATAGAGGATTAAGAATAAAGAGACTGAACAGAATTAATCTGATTTCCGACCTAGTCAAGAAATCCCAGAATTAATTCTTTCCCCAAAAACTGTTTATTAAATTAACTGAGAACCCTTTATATAGATATTAAGGGTTTCCTAAAATAATTTGCTATTCTAATGGAACTATAATAAAGAAGACTAGTCCCAATAGGATTAACTAATATTAATTCTTAATACTATACTAATAGGACTCTTCTGCTTGCTTGGACCTTTTTCCTTAGCCACTTTGTTTCCTAATTTCATCTTTACCCCTCCGATCTCTTCTTTTATATGTGCGACCATAAAACTGGTCCGTAACAGTTTACATATAATTAATATAGACAATAGAAGGCTATTTGTCTAGTTTAGTTTCCCCATGGTTCCAATAGGACAGTGGACAAATTCTAGGTTTGAATTGCATGTAGATATCAGGGTATATATTGGACGAATGGTGTGTTAGCCTGGAGATGGTGTGTTGCAGACTACGAGAAAGGATATTTAACAACATTTTGTGACGATTGAATAATAATGAAGATGGTCCTGTTTTAATCTTTTTCATATAGCTTGATGTTAATCCTTTACTTGATGAAACCACAGGGGATCTTGTATCTCTAGTTTCACACAAGAAAGATCAAGACTGACTTCATGATTTATGTAGTATCACACGCATTGTCTGAAACTGCAATGTTCTTTCCCAGCAAAAGTTGATATCGTCTAGATCTCTTACAAGAGGCCATAACATTCATTTGGTGTAAAGCTTCACTTATAAAGTATGGGAATAAATTATTTATGGCTTTATTTCACTGCTGAACCCCAAAAGTGGAACAGAAAAGATTTTGTTGTTGTTTTGAGCACAACTTATGTACTCCCTCCGTCCCAGAAAATTCTTCCTGGTTTGACTTGGATCGGAGTTTAAGAAAGTGAGAATAAGTTGGAGTTCTATGATTGTGGTTGAGTAAGAAAAAGGTAAATGAATGTTAGCCACACAAACCTTTCCAAAAAGGGAAACAGGAAGATTTTTTGGGACATCCCAAAAAGGTAAGTGGGAAGAATTTTTTGGGACGGAGGTAGTATTATTCAGTGTGGGTATTGGTCTCAGAGAAAGATAAAAACATACGATGTAGTTCTGATTGCAGTTTTAAAAGGTTGAAAATGCGACCAAATTGATAGATTTCTTTTATTTCAGTGTTCAAATGTGAAGTACCGATCAGTTCAGCAAATAAATTGATTTTTTTTATAAATGAAAAGATTAGTTTTGATTTCTCTTCCCTCCAGATTTACCTCGTCACCTCACTACACAGTTCACTGTGATTTTTTTTAAAAGAATGTAGTTCCAGCTATGTTGCAAGGTAAGCTTAACTGAATTTCCTGGCTATTGGGAAAGATCTGTGTTGGCCAATTAGCTCTTAACCACTGACAAGGAGTTTGGGGTGACACTCAAGTTGCTATAGGATTTATCTGAGTGTTGACTGTTAGTTTTATTATGAGATTTTCTTTGTACTTCGCTTGATTCGTATCAAACAATTTATACAAAGTAGTACCATATTGAAATGAAATGAGTATGGAGTATCTCTATTGCTTAACCGCGAGTTGCAAAACTTGAGTATTTTGCTGTCGTTGGTTTATTTTAGCAGCAACTTTGCATGCTTCTTCCCCACGTTGCTTTGGTCTTTACTTGTATCTGTTTCTGAGAATGTAGGAAAAGTTTCTTGACCTATTATGCAAGGAGGCTTATGCTTGTGCTTTTTTGGATCATAAGCCTTACGTTGGATATGACCATCTATGTAAGTTCTAAAATCATACATTTTACGCACTATGAGTATGAAATATAGTACTCTTATACTTCACTCATTTTCCACATCTTTTGAAGCACAACCTCTTTTGATTTATTGTGTGTTTTTGATTTCCTACCAAATGCCTTTTGCAGTGGCTTTTTAACCGTGAGATTATTATTGCCTTTTGTTTTGCTTTCCAGCCTCAGCTATATGCAAAAGGAAGAGATTCGAGTTTCTTTCAGGCAACAAATTCACCATTATTTTCTAGATTAGTGATCAATCATCTACATTACTTCACCGTTCTTTATGAACTTTGCTAATTTCCCGTGTCTGGGGTGCTGTTTATGCCAGATTTTGTACCTGAAAGAATCAAAGCTGAGTTGGCTCTAGCAGATTTAGAAAAACTTGGTTAGATCAGACCAGACAGATTCCGGGATATTCGGTCTACAAGAAAACTACAGTTTTGCTCTCCTTGTGTACTGCTCCAGTATGTCTCTTCTAAGAGATGATATGTGGTGACCGGAGAAGGTTCTATTGTAAGCCTAGTTCACGAAATTATAACTAGAAGATAGTATGTAGCTCATCTTCTATAACCATCATCAATACATAAATGGACTCACTAACAACTGATAGGGGATGTTTGCTGATGCTTCATCGTGAATGTTGAAGTAGCCGTTAAATCATTTCAAGTTTCAACCATTTGGTGATCTATCAGACTATCTCACGTTTAGGCCTAATTTGGTTGAAATTGCCTTTCAAGAAACCTCATTAAAAAGGTACTTTTGCAAACTGTTCTTGAGGTGTGCGGTGAGAAAGTACTCCTTATTTGGCAGTCTAATATCACATTTTCACAATTTGATGGGTTCTGAAGTAAACAACTGAATAAAATCTCCAGTGGTCATTCAAGGACTCGAAGTAGCTATCTAAACTCTAAAGATAGGAGTAAATAAAAATAAGAGTAAAACCAATATGATTTTCCAGAATGTGTATTATGTTACTTTCCCTACACAGTAGCAAGTTACTTCTATGTAGGGGACATACCGACATACTCTCATATTTTGGAATTATCACACTATTTTGATTTGGTTTTCAAATATTGGTTTGGTTTTCATTGTTTCGGTTTGGAACTGTCCGAAAGAATTATTACCGAACAAAAACCATACTATTTTTCGGTTTGGTTCAGTTTAGTTTGTTTTGGTTCAATTTGGATTTGTTGTTTTTTAATAACATATGAGGTTTTAATGAATTTCTTTAATTCAGTTAAGTTTTTCTCGATAAGTTTAATACGCTTTGGAAGAAATACTATCAAACTCAAATCAAATTGCATATGTTCGATTTCGATTGAGTTTAGTCTGATTTGGTATGGTTTCGATAAAATCAAAGTATCTGATTTGAAATCGACTTTTTGGACAAAATGTTTAGGGTTGGACTTGGGCCGGGCCAACCGGCCCAGGACCGGCCCGCTACTGTGCGGGCCATCTGGCTCGGTGGGATGGCGGTTCGGGCTCGGGCCCTTCAAAAGGTGAACCGGCCCGGGCCATTTTTTTTTTGATTTTTTTTTAAGTTTTTGGGTTGGACTGGGTATTTTGTGCCATTTAAGGTGGTTAGGGTTGGTTTGGGGGTGAGGGGGAGGGTTGGGGGTTAACTAGGAAAAGCCAAAAAAAAAAAAAAAGAATCGAGGCCCGGCCCGGTGGCCCGGACCGGCCCGGACCCGGGGGTTACCCGGGCCGGTTCCGGGCCTCCCATACCTTGAACCGAGGCCCGGCCGGTTCAAGGCCCGAACCGGGCCCGGCCCGAACCGAGCCCATCCCTAAAAATGATGAAGTAATTTGTGATTGCATAGAACAGTTTTCTTGCAACTGCAATTACTAATTGTTTAAAATGATGCTTTCTTTTGATAAAAATCAACTTGTTTCTCAATTTCTTTTCCAAGATTAGTTTACTCAAAGAACTTTTGGCAGAAAACTTTTTCATTCGAAGGAAATTACTAATTCACTACACGAACTGCTAGATGTATTTCTGTGTTTAAAAACCCGTACCGGGAAGCGACCCGGTCACATGACTAGGTCGCGGATCAATCCGAACCTGGTGGGTCAATGCGGTCAACTCGTGAAAACCGGTCAACGATTATATCTCCATATAATAATAATTAACATATGATTATATACAAAATTATAATAATAAGTAGTTATTATTCATAATTATCAACGTCTAGTACAACGCTAGATCTTGAGTTCAATGATGATGAGTAAGTCACTCCGTGATTGAAGCACTTTTGAATAATAACCATCCCAAGGTAAGTGCTTGAGTCTGCAATGTGTAATGAGGTTGACTATTTATTAGTAGATCTTTTGATAAAGTGTTTAATTGCAGAACACAATTTGAAAAGGTCTACCCTATGTGAGCTAGAATGACGGCCGATTCACCAAGTTTAAGGCTTTACTTGTTGGAGCTCATGAATGGATATTGACACAAGGCTGTTAATTGTGTCAAGTTTTTAAGTGAAATTGTATAAAGATTTATGTGTGTAATATCTTCAGTATTTCAAAGTGGTTATATAGTTCAAAGCATAGTCTACTATTATGATCCGAAATATTGTAAAGAATATTGCACTAAATGAAAGTTCAATCTTTACGACATTTTCGATTATGCATAAATCTTGATAAGTGGTCTATTTGGCAAGAACTGAGCATGATTATTTTTCAATAAATGGAGGAGGATTGTTGAAGATTTATTGAAAAATTAAGCTTTATTATTATTTTACACGGGCTATTAACATTTTTGTTGCAAAAAGAATATATATGACGTAATAGTTATTATTTAATGTTATGAGTATTACGGTTTTATTTTTGGTAGTGTCATCTCATAATATTAGTAATAATATTACATAATTATATACTCTTATGAATATTTTAGTTGATGCGGTTTTGCAAAAGGAATGTTTTTAGCAAAGGAATATTTTTAGCAAAAGGAATTTTTTAGTTTATGCGGCTGTTTCTACAGGTGCATGTAATTATTTTAAAGGATGCCTTATCCTTTAAAATTATTTTAAAGGATGTTCTCATCAAGGTTCAAAATTGCGTATTGCGTAATCACGGCATTTTTTTGTTATTGCATATTGCGTAAGCCTCATTGTGCAATGAGGCGTAGACCTGAGGCGTAAATTATATATATATATATATATATATATATATATATATATATATATATATATATATATATATATATATATATATGGGAGGGTTCAAATACAAAGAGATCGTCCCATGCAAAGTGAGAATTAATCTCGTGCATTCATTTTGAGATCTAATGGCTCAAAATGAGCCAAAAGTGAACTAAATTCGATCAAAAACGCGGTGGCAATTCGTAATTAAAATGAAGTTTTTTGCAATCGCGAAAAAGTGCAACGCGGTGAAGAAAAAATGCAATTGTTCACACTTTGCACGGGAGAACCTCTTTTTATTTGATCTCTTCCCTATATATATACATATAGTGTGTGTTTATATACACAATTAAAAATAATATAATGAGGACATAATCATAGTAAAGTAATACGTTCAAAATTCAAACCATTCTATAATTGTAAGATTATTATATTGATGAGTTAAAAGATACTTAAGATAACATTAACAAATTTCATAGTAACAGAAATTTAAGATATTATTAACAGTAACATTAATATTAAAATTAAGATAATATGTAGAATTAAGTTTCTACGTCCAATATGTAGAATTAAGTTTCTATATCAAAACGATGGAAAATAATTAATTAACTAAAATTAAGATTAAAACATGACACGTAGTATATGACACAATGACAATCATATATTACCAACTAAAACATTGAAGTTAAATGAGAAGCAGATGAAACTTGAAACTTCCGCCTATTGCTAAAACTTTATCAGATGAAGTAGAAACGCAGGTTTTCTGCACACCTGTGATGCACAGATGAATAAGCAGCAACCTATCTTCTGCTAACTATTGACCAAGGGTGAAATACCAAAGGAGGTTGGAAACCAGTTCAAGTATATTCTTATCTTCGGTTGATTTTTCTTATCCTTTTGAGTGGCAGGATAGGATAAGAACTTCTTGGGTATGTCTGGCAAATGGCTTATCAGCCAGCTTTTAGCTTGTTTGACCCATTACAACTGGTTGATTTTTCTTATCCTTTTGAGTGGCAGGATAAGAACTTCTTGGGTATGTTTGGCAAATGACTTATCAGCCAGCTTTTAGCTTGTTTGACCCATTTCAACTGTTTGATTAGTCGAAGAAGCTAATAGTAATGTTTGGTAAATGACTTTTAAAATGACTTTTAAAATTAGTTTGTTGAGTTTTAAAATTCTTCATTTGGCTGGTTCAATTTACACTCTATCAGCCATTTCGAAAGAGCCAATTTTACCAAACAGTTATTTATAATCAGCCAACATAACCAGTCGGTCAAAACAGCTAACACAACCAGCTGTTGCGAAACAGCTGACACAACCAGCTACCAGCAACCGTTAACGACCATTTACCAACAAGGCCCTTATCCTTTTGAGTGGCCGCACCTTTTCAAATGGGTTTTCTTATCTTCGATTGATTTTTGACTCTTTTCAAAAGGTCGCCATTTACATATTTATATTGCTAGACCATGTGGATTAAACAGTACGTCAAAAATCATTTTGTCAACTTCTCTAATTGCCTTACTCTATTACTTTTATCTGTAATATTAGTAAAAAAAATATTTAGACCACTTTATATACATATAACTTGTTCGATGTTATTTTATCAGTAGCTAAAATACATCATACATCTTCTTTTTATCCCAAAAGTTCTATCTTGTAACCCGGTTACTGTGATAAGGGTAGATATTAAACTTTTAGGAAAACGTATTTATACGTGACTAGAAGTGATATCCGGTCCAACCATATTTATACACCCTTATTATTCTATTATACCTTAAGTTCTAACAATATGCATCTAGTTCACGTCACCTGAGATTGTATAGGACATTGAGTATTTAATGTTGACTCTGTCTTCTTATGATTTATTATTATTCACTGCGTACAAAAAACAAAGATCTACATTTGTAATATTGTGTTCCTTCCTTCCCATTTTAATTACCTGTCCTACTTTGAGTACTTTCCTTTTTGGATTGTCCCAAAATAAGCGTCACATTTCTTTTTTAGAAAGAAATATGTGGTCTAGCATTTCACTTTATTATAATCAAAGTTCAACCACAACTTTTACTTTCTCAGTCACTTCATTAATAATTGTGTCAAAGCAAAGTAGGACACATAAAATGAGACAGAGCCATAGAGGTAGTAGTCGTATTACTAAAATGGGTACATGGTTTTCTTAAGGTATTATTTTCTTCATACAATCTCTTTGATTATATTTTGATGTATATCATGGATGAGTTTACACATTATTTCGACCACACTAACTGCAACTGACAAAAGCACAACTGAGATAGGTTAAACCAAACCAGCCAAACCAAAACCCGACTGGCAAACATGCTTACCAAACGACACCCGATGAAATGACCTAAACCGGAACAAAAACCCCTTTTTTATTAACTGTGAAAATGCATATGAATGAATTAATATCCTGCTCACCCCAATTTTGTACTTACTGGAGTTTTGGTTTAGCCCCTTGTCTGCTATGATCTCAAGTACTGTACTAGAACAGTACTGTTTAGGATCTTAAGTTTCCTAACAACATGTGTGTTGTTATGATTTCTCTTATTTCACTACTTGTTAGGGGTCCCATTCCAGACTTGGAAAGTTTTTGGGAAT